CAATGTACGTTATTCTGTTCATAGTCATATGTGTATATGAAGTACAATTGAATCTTGTTATACTTAATTATTTCTTTTATGAAATTATTGTAAATTTAAAAATGCATTTTTACAAATAACAAAAAAAACAAAACAGAAAAATTGTAGGTATTTGAATATTAAAAAATTTTTTAACTTGAAATGCTGGAATTTATATAAAAAACACATGCTTGTTCTCTCATATTCCCAGTCTAAATTACAAGTGAAATTAACAAAAAAAAAATTATGGAAAGCTTTTGTGTAATATGCGGTTCTATTTTTAAAGTTGCTATATTCAAATATTTAAATTAAACACCTTTAACCGCGCTATTTAAAAAAAAAATCTAAAATGAATCGATAAAACCGCAATTCACGTTTATTTTTACAATTTTAAACTGTTTTTTTTTTTTTTTTTTGAATTTTGCATATATTTATTGCAATTATTGTGTTAAGTAGAAAAAAAAATCAAAAGAAGAAGAAAAAATGAAAATTAAATGTTAGTTAACTTTTCAAAATTATAGGGTATTTTGACATTGAAGAGAAATATGCGATATATAAAATAGTCAATATGGAAAAAAATTATAATCGGTTTTACGTACATATATAATGCGTTAATAAATTGTATAATAGTTGTAATACGAGTGCTACGAGTGTTATTGTTTTAACACAAATAATTAAAAGGCTGTAAAAAAAATTATGCGATTTCTTTGAAAATGGAATTGCAAAAGGCCAAAGAGGAAATTTTATTTTTAATCAAATGAGAATTTCTTTAATCAGTTTATTCTCAATCATTTTTTGTACATCTAAAATTTAATCATTTTGTTCTAACCAATCAAGGTGTTATTCTTAAATTATGATAAGCCTATATAATAAAATTGAGAAAAAATTAGGAGTTTAACTTAAAAACTAAATTAATAAAGTTGGATCTAACCAATGGTTTGTATTATAGCACTTTTCCCTTCAACAATTAAAAATATCGCTTTAAACAGCACACTATTCAAATTATTTTCATTCATATACGAAAATATTTCCAGGATTGCATATATTTAGGATCAACGATTTGTGCAGTCTTTGAAATAAAGCAAAAATTAATTTAAAGAGGACTTAACATAATGCTCGATTTTAAGGGTTAATTACGTGAGTTAAGAAAAATAATTATATTTTTTAATGTCATGGCTTTTACCGTTAGCTTTTTGTGTTTATAGAAATTTGAAAAAGCTTGCGGTTTCGCAGATATAAAAAACTTCAAAAATTCAATTTTTACAAATTTCAAGATTATGTTGAGAGGGGGTGGAGATGGAAAAAAATGTTCTTCTAACGAAATGAAGCATTTATTAGTGTCTAAAAGCCCTTAAAATTTCAGGTTTCCAGAGGCTGGGGTCTAGAAAATAAACGACATCAAAAATTTGGAAAAAACGGACTTTAGATAACAGTAAATTTTAGCGGGCATTTTGTTTTTTAGTAGTAAAGTACAAGTTTGGTATTCCATGATAGAAGAAGCCAGCCATTATATTTCTGTGTTGGCAAAATTTTAAAAATGCTTGTGGCTTCACTGCAGTCAATAGTTGAAAAATGGCATTTTTAGTGTTTTAGGGGTATAACTTTTGTTCAATGGAAATAAGTTTTTAGTAAAGATCTATGTACGTATAAAAATTTCAGGTTTCTATCTTCAAGGGTGTAGAAGTTTTGTAAACATGTCCACAGACTGACGGGGGTGGACAGAGTGAAACTAATAAGCACTTTTTTTTTAAATTTTTTGGAAAACTGCTAAAAAGTGGATTGCCTTGCGTTATTCAAAGATTCCTTTAAAATTAAATAAATAAAATTTATGTACTTGAATAGATGTAAATTGTAATTAAAAATTGAATTTTGAAATTCTAGAATCCTTAATTTAAATTGAAATTTGCAAATAATATTCAATATAATAAGAAATCTTTCAACAATAATATTCAAGTTTTCTTATTAAACAATTTTCATATAATTATTTTGACATATTGCCTTATATGAAATTTCTCCCCTTATAATAATACTTAATGAAGAAATATCCATTATGTACAAGTAAAATGCCAATTAAATATAAATTTAAATAAAATTAAGAAAAAAAAATCCCAAGTATTTATTTATTTGTATTTCGGTATATAAAAGCAATTGTTATAACAAAATTTCTTTTTATTTATATAAGGAGTTAAAATATTTACGCTTTTATTACAATTATGACACATGGATGATTCAATCGTGTGTATCAAAGAATGCTTTCATTTTTCGTTTTTATTTTATCAAAAGATCAAAGGAGAAAAAAACACACCTTGTGTACGTACTCTTTGAAAGTGTAACAAATCTTAAGTCCTATATGAAATTGCTATATAAATTTTATTTTCTTTAGATTCAAAGATAAAGTGAAACTAAAATAATACACAAATGATTGCAAATAAAAAATAGAAATTATGTGTGTATGCATCCTTTAAAATCCTTCTTTTATTTGATCGCTTCAAAGAGATTTTTTATAGTTCACAATATTAAGATTTAAGAACAAAAGTTTAGTTTATAAGTTTATAAATTTCAAATCTTAAATTGAGTCAGGGAATTCAAATAATCAAAAAATTGTCTTAATATATTCTCTATTGAGTGTACTTCATATTAATTAAACTTGTATGGTTAAAGTTAGAGATTACAGTAAAAATATGAACTTATTTCAATCTAACAGTTTTGAGTAAAATTGAGTAATTTAATAAAATTTATCCAATTTCATTTACATATTTATTGCAATATAATAAAACACATTAAATGTCAATCATAAAATTAACATTTATTTTTCGAACTCATATAAAGTTGACATTGTCAAACGACAAGCACCTTTAATTTTTTGTGATATACGAGTAGCAAATACAAAGCAAACAAATAAATTTTGGAATTGAAGATTACTTAAGTTTAAAACTAAAATATTATATTAATATTATGTATATGTATCAGCAATAAACAAAATGGAATAATTTATAACAAAATTGTTATAAATTTTCTACTAAATTATAAAAACACAGTGTGTGATATTTCCGAAGAGAACCATTAAAAATCTTTTTTATTTTTATAAAAGCTCTTAATATTTTTAGATTTTAGTCGAGTGTTTCATAAAATACATTGATATTCCTAATTCTTAAAAGTTAACAATTTGTGTTTAAATTTATAGATAAGAGAAAAATTTATGCAGAATAAAATGTTTCCAGATACTTCATAATTTATGGGCCTACTCCATTTTTTCTTTTTTCACAAAACAGCGGCAAAACCGAGTATAATATTAATATGCATGCTTTTGTTTATAAGTTCCCTGCTGTTGTCATCTCTAACAGTGTCATTACTACATATATATAAAAATTCTACTGCTTTTTTCCTGTTACTGCCAATACATATATGTATGTATGAATGTATATATGAAAATATTTACGTATATGTGCTTACAGGTGTACTCTTTCCCTTCAATTGTGTTTGCCTATATTGTTGTAAAAATAAAAAAAAAGCATATTATTTTTAACTTAAGATTAAAAGTTCATATGGCACAAGTCGTTTATTTTTTTGTATTGTTGAATTTTAGTTCTTCATTTTTTATTTCTTATTGTCTTTTTTCTTTGTTTTGTTAAATAGTTGTAAATTTATTACCATCCATGAGTACAAGCAATACTACAGTATATTCGTAAGTTAAAAAAAAATAAATTTTTCACCTCGTAATAGTTATTTAATATTATTGTATAACAATTTAGTATAATAATGGAAAAAAATATTATAACAGTAAACTGTTTACATTAAAAACTATCTTTAAATATAAGAGTAGGTCAGGAAAAAATTTAAATGACGGAAAAAACTTATGATTTTAATGGTGAATATTTTTTATTCAAAATTAGAATTTGAAAAATATTGCATAAATTAAGGGGCAGAAGCTTAATAAAATTCAGAACATTTAAAATAAAAAATTTTATAGGCGTTTTTATATTTAAGTCGTTAAAATAAAATATTATTTATGTTAGAATGAATGTAATATATCAATTTAGACTTAAAATTATGTGTTACCAAAAAGCAATAACTTGTTGAAATTACAACCGGTTACAACATGAGTACATATTTCAATTTCTCTAGGGATTGGTGGAAATAAATTTTTTTTTTATAGGAAGAATGAATTAGTAAATATCATATTAGGTTTTCTCATGAAGAGAAAACGTGTCTTCAAGACACATGACTCTTCAAACGTATACATTAGCATATGTATATGAAAGTTTGTTTGAGAAAAGTAGTTAACTTTTTAATAATATTAATCCTGGTAGATGGATTAATATTTTTATATATTATAGAATATAAATTTTATATCATTGACACCTAAGTTTGTATATCAATTTTTACTTTTGTATAACAAAATTTTTACACAAGCATATCGTTCTAATGCGAACTTCTTTTTAGTAACTTTACTTTATTTCTTCCCTAAAATATACTATTATAGCTACATATCTTACACTTTTTCGTTATTGATATATTTTTAAAGCTTTATTTAAATTTTATTATATTTTGTTATACTCGCTTAAATTTCATATAAAAATTTATATTTGTTTTTTCATCTCTAACATTCTACTGTATTCCATAGGTATATAGTTTTTCCTCCCTAAAAATAAATGCCTATATAATTTTTATGGCTATTCAAATATACACACATATCTATATACACGAGTATAACATTTCAAACAAAAACAAAATATTTGAATGAAAACTCGAACAAAAAAAAAATTGCTGACACAAAAAAATCGCTGACCTTTTAATTTTTTTTTTTTTGATTTTCCAATCAAATTGAATTAATTTCAAATTTTATAAGTTAAAAAATCAAAAAAAAAAAATATATAATAATGTAAATTGTGTGTTTGTATATATTTTTCATAATGAACTATTATAAAAAATCTTTTTTAATTTTATTCATGTTTTATTTTTGTTTTATTCGATTTTTTCAGATCGCCTTTATTTTGTAGCCTTCAAAAAGAATTTTAAACCAAAAAGTACAACAAATACGCACTATTTTAGCATCGATGATGAGTTTGTCTATGAGAATTTTTATAATGATTTTGGACCATTAAATATATGTATGTTATATAGATATTGTCAAAAATTAAATCGTAAAATGACATCAAAATGGCATGCAAATAAAAAAATCGTACATTATACTTCAATGAATCCGGCAAAACGATTAAATGCTGCTTACCTGATTGGTTCGTATGCCGTAAGTTTTAAAAATTTTTTTATGTTAATTTTTTTTTCTTTTACTTAATTTAATTATTTTAAAATATATATATATATATATGATTTATGTACATATACATATAGTATATATAGATTTGTAATATAGGTATATAATAAATAAACAATTATTAAATTATTTTATTTTTTGCGTAAACGTCATCGGGTTTAATGAGAATCAAGATAATGTAGGTTGTCTTAAAAATTTTATTAAAAATAATTTTATTTTTATTAAAATGACGATGCACTGATGACAAATCTAATGTACTAATACGATTAAACTAAAAATTGTATATTTTTATTAATTCTTTAAAATATTCATTATAAGAAAAATAACGGAGAAGGAGTTTAATAAAAATACAAAAAAAAAATATTGAATATGATTGAAAATTATATTGACTATAAATAGTCTACGGTAACACAAGAGGGAAATGCACAGTTATTGTACAAATATATTTTAACCTTTTTTGTGTGCTATTTCTGATACGTTTCATTTTTAAAATTTATTTGAGTGAAAATAATTAAGTGAAAAATTCCAATGAATATCGATATTCCTCAAGACGGTAACACTTTAAATAATAAAATATTATTATAAAAAAATTTTGACGTATGGAATAAAATCAATCAATTTTAAAATTCAACGTTTCAAGCTAAAAACCGGTATAATTTTTAAATAAGAAGTGATATGTCTCAGAGAATATTCTTAATACTAAATAATTTTTATCAAAATTCCTTAATAAATTAAAATAAAAATACTAAGTAGGATTGTCGAAAATAATCAATATTAAGAATTTTTAATTTTTAAAATTTAAAAAAATATTTACACAAAAATCATTTACTTTTTTTTTTTAGGTTATATATTTGAATAAAACACCAGAGGAAGCGTATAGACCACTTGTCGCTGGCGACATACCTTATTATACACGTTTTTGTGATGCCTCATATGGTCCATCAGCATACAAAATATCATTGCAAGATTGTATAAATGCTGTTTATAAAGCACTCAAAGCTGGTTTCTTTGATTTTGAAGATTTTGATGCTGAAGAATATGAATATTATGAGCGTGTTGAAAATGGTGATTTTAATTGGATTGTACCAGAGAAATTTATTGCATTTTGTGGTCCACATCAAAAATCTAAAACATTAGCAAATGGTTATCCTTGTCATGCACCCGATACATATTTTGATTATTTTAAACAAAATAATGTTACGACTATAATACGATTAAATGCTAAAGTTTATAATGCATCTAGTTTTGAGAATGCTGGATTCGAGCATAAAGATTTATTTTTTATAGATGGTAGTACACCAAGTGATTTAATATTGAAAAAATTTCTTATGATATGTGAAACGACAAAAGGTGCTACAGCAGTACATTGCAAAGGTATAGAAATTATTTAGATACTCTCTTTTATTTTTAAATTTATTTAATTCAATATAATATCAATTCAATAGCAATTTATTAATTGTTTTTTTATTTAAAATATGTATATGTATATTTTTAGCTGGATTAGGTCGAACTGGTAGCTTAATCGGTGCATATATAATGAAGCATTATAATTTTACAGCCCTGGAGGCTATTGCATGGTTACGTCTTTGTAGACCTGGCTCTGTTATTGGTCATCAACAACAATGGATGGAAGAGTAAATATAAATTTTTTTTTATTATAAAAGTTTTTGTAAAATAACATTCTTTTTATTCTTTTCTAATTAATTATAGCAAACAAGCTTGGTTGATAGCTGAAGGTGAAAGACATCGAAAAAGAACAGGTACCGATATATTAAAACATAAATACGGTATTTATAGTAAAAAATTACGATCAAAATATTTACAAAATGGTAATGATGTAACAAATATTACAACTAGTTATTTACCATTGCAATTAAATGAAAATAATACCGATATTTTATCGACAAGAGTGCGTGGCATATCACAAAAAGTTGATACAATGAATCTTAATGATGAAGAAAATTTAAATGGCAATCGCCCTGATACCGATATGGTTGATACAATATTTAAATGTTCTGATACAAATGAAAAATATCCAATAAGCATTGAAGCTTTAGGAATTGAACGTACAAATAAAAAACCATATGGTTTAACAGAAAAAACAAATAATAATAGTACAGGGCCAGCTGGCGGGGGTGGCGGTGGTGGTGTAGGTGGTGGTGGTGGTGGAGGAGGAGGTGGCAGTGTTGGTATATCAAATACTAGTCCAAGAGCTTCGCCAATAACAGCTGCTGTAGTTAAACTTACAACAGCTGATAGAATAAGAACACAAACTCAAGGTGATAAATTAAATCAAATTAAAGCTATGAGAAGACAACATATTTCAAGATCATTAGCAGCTAGTGGGTCTGTGTAAGTTAATATTAATTATTAGGATAATGTTTGTTTATTATTTACAAAAAAAAAACAAAAGTTATATTATAATTAAAATTTTGTCCTATTGTAATTTTTATTTTTATTTATAGTGGAGAATGTGATAATCCATTACGTTACACAAGAGCAAAATCACAACAGCCTTTTCGTAATAATGGTAATATATGTAATACAATTACAAACACAACATATTCAATAACAAAAAGCGACAATGGTATTGTTACAACAACAGCAACAACACATACAACTGTAGATTCAAGTAATAGCAATAATTCAGTTACATCATCACGTCTAACAACAAATCGTCTTGCAGTTTATAGCAAAAGGTAAGAAAGTTACAAAAAAAAAAAATAATTACAAAATTATTATACACGCTCATCATACACAAAGTAAAATAAAAATTCTTTTACAATGAAAAAAATTTCATAGTTTATAAGCTAAAAAACAAAACAAATACAAAAAATTAATTAGTCAAAAAAAAAAATATATATATACGTATTATATATTAAAAATTTTAAATTGAATTTTTTGTTTTTTGAGTACATATTACATTAAAATTTTTAAAATATACAATTTAAGTACTAAGCATAATTTAAGTTTTCTTTAAGTACATAAATAAAACCAAAATAATTGTCATTATTTTTTAGAATAGCTTTTGAGTAAACACATAATTGTAAATGTAAAATCATAATTATAATTGTTACAATATTTTCTTCAATATTTTAAGTTAATAATTTATAGATCGATATCCTTTTTTTAAATTACATTCAATTAAAAAATATAATAACGATTTCAGATAGAAAAAATTTCACAAAACAAAAAAGTTTATAAAAAAAAAAATTAGAATTAAAAGATACAAAACAATATAATATTATAAGATTTTTATAAAATATTTAAAAGTTTATTAATTACATTTACATTCACTACTTAAATCATTGATAATTCAAAGAAAAAACTAGACTAGTCAATATTTTTAAAGTTAATTAATTTTTTTTCATATTAATATTAATATACAAATATATATATTGTGATATTATCTCTAATTTCTTCAATAAAAATATAAGCAACTCATAAAAATTGCTAGTCGTTTATAAGTAAATTTTTATAATTAATTGTATATATATATACTTTACATTATTTAAGAAAATTTTAAATTGTTTTGTACATGTTATATAATATTTCAAAATATAATATTTTTCTCAATAAATATTTGAATTTATTTAAAATATTTAAAAATAATCTGTATGTAAATTTCCTAATTGAAAAAATTTCGTGCTAGTAAAACTTGTTATTTTAAGAAATAATGACTTATATTATTATAATTTATATTTATAAATATAAAATTTCAAAAAAAAATTCAATTAAATTTTAGTTTTGTAGAACAGATTTCTAAAGTCAAAGAATTTTTTGTTTTTTACTATAATAAAATAAGGGATTTTTTAAAATTTATAATTTGAACTACAATATTTATATTTTAATATTGTAAAAGTAGGTAAAACACCTAAAGTTTATTAGAAATAAACAAATAAATTATTAATATTAAATTTTATATTGCGGAATTAAATTCTAGTTTATTATTTAATATTTAAATTTAATTACAAATTTTTTGATTATAGTAAAGAAAGCATTTTGCTTTCAATATCAATTAATAAACTTATTAAAATGAACTAGAACAATTATGTTTAGTACTTAAATTTATATTTATATAATTTGTTTTTCTTGCATTATAGTAGTAAAATAAAATAAATATTACCATAATTAATTGTTTGCCATTCTTATTTAAATAATATTGAATTGTTTTTTCTTAAAAATTATTTCTTATTGTTTTGATTATTACGTAATATACTTTTACTTCCTTTCCTTTCCCATTTCTATATAATAATATTAATTCTTTGCTAAAAATTAGAAAAAAAAAATATGTTTACATGACTGTTTTGATTTTAATTAAAAAAAAAAATTAAAAAATTCAATAAATTAAATTGACATGCAGTTTTTTTACAATTATTTTCATGCTATTTTTACAAGAATTTCATATTTTTTTTATATATCAAAATTTTTTAACCTTATTTTGATTATCATGTATACTTATTTATTTTTAAATTGTTTTCAATTTTGTTTTGGCATTTAAAAAAAAATAATATAAATTACTTTATTTTTGTTTATGGTTTTATTTTTTTCCTTTTATTATTACTCTTTGTTTGTTCTTTTTTGGTTAATTTTATATATTATTTTGTTTTTTATATTAATCAACATTCCAGAAAACGCACAAAGAATAGATATCTTAACTTAGTTAAGAATATGTTTGTAAAGCGACTAAATTAAAAAAATATTGAAAAGAAAAAAAAACAAAAAAAGAAATAAAATAATTAAACAGAATTTTATTATAAAATTTAAAAATTGAAATTTTAATATCGTGCAACTTTTTTTTCTTTATTTTTAATTTTAAATATAATTTAACAAAACAAAATTCTAAAATATTAAATTAGAATGGGATAAAGTAAAAGATTATAGTTTTAGAAAATATTTTTTAAATATATTTTTTTTAAGATAAAATTTTTAAATATTATTGTTTATATTTGGTTTTTGTTCATTGTACATTAAAAAAAAAATCAATATATATGTTTTGTTCTTTATTTTTAGGGAGAAATAAAAAAAAAAAAAAAGCAAATTTACTTCAAAATTTTTTATTTAAAATTTATAATTTTGACTAATTTTAAAATTTTAATTTTGTATTTTTTCAATTAAAAAAATGATTGTTTTTCAAGATTGTAATATTTGTATGTTTAAAAGAAAATTAATTTACAATTTATTTATTAGTTTTTAAATTCTGATTAAAAAAATTTAAAAGTTCTTCTTGTTTTTAGTTTTTAAATATTAAAATTGTTATTAACCAAAATTTTTTATGTATAAAAATATAAAATAGAACACTATTATCTAACTTTCGGAATATTTAATAAAATTATTTATGAACAAAAATAAATAAATAATTTTTATTTATATTTTGTTTTTTTTTTTTTTATTTTAATTTTATTTAATTAAAAGTTTGTTTTTTTTTTTCTTATTATATTATAATTATTTTATATTTTTATATAATATTTGTATATTTTATAATTTTTATTTTATGATTTTTCTATATTTTGTTATACATATTTGGAAAATTTCCAATCAATCATTTAATTAGATTAAATAAGTTTTACAAGAATAAAACTTGTAAAAATGATAATTATAAAAATCTTGGAAACTTTAAAAAATGCACTCATTTAAATAAAATAGATTAAATTAAATAATGTATGTTTTTAATTATTAAATTAATTCACAATATTTCAAATATAAGTTGTTTACTTTAAAATTCTCTAAAAGACTTAAATGGGCCACTAAGTGCAATTTTATTTTTTTTTTTAATTATGGCGATTATTCTAGTACAAAATTATAATTAAATTAAACGATATTGTGATCGTAAATTGAGCCATTAATTAAATGTAAGGAATATTATATTTCAAAAAATGATTGATTGGAAAATAATAATAAATTAATGTTAGTGTTATATTTATATGTTGGATCCCATATTATTATTATTTTACTAAAAATGAAAAATCTTTAGGAAAAATAAAATTAGATCAAGTTTTTTTTTTTTTTTGTTTAAATACTTTCTTACTTGGTGTTTACACATTATGTAAAATTAATGTAATTTTACATTGATTCAAGATATTCTAGTTGCAAGACTAATATTCAAATTATTTATCTATAGGTTATTATGTTAACTTTTACTATAACATTAAGTTATTGTAATAACTTAATGTAAAATTCAAAATCCTAAACTATATAAATATTTAATTGGTTTTTTGTACGAAAAATTATTGTATGAAACGTATTTAATTTTGTAAAATAATGGAAATATTTAGACAATTTGAGCTATTTATTCTATGGTATAATTTGTGCTGGAATGTGTAAATTAGTTGAAACATAAAAATTATTTTGTATATTGTTTGTTGATTACAATATTGTATAATATTATCTTAGTGTATAAAATTATTACGTACACTATTTTGCTATACACACTATAATGTTTTCATTTTTACAAAAATTATGCCCAAAATTTTAATTTGAGTTTTAAGAGTACGCGGTTCAGTTTCAAATATACTTAAAGTGAAGATTATTATTCGACTTCTTTTATTAATTCATAGATTTTAAAACTATATAATCCACATTGCAATCTTTGCACTACTTGATTTTTAAATTCCTTAATTTGATCTAATTTTATTTTTGTTAAAAATTTTATTTTATATAATTGACATTATTATAAATAAAATATTTTTTATTAACACTTTCCTTTTTAAGAAAAAGCTAGTTAGAATGAAACAATGGCAATGTGAAAAACCCTTTTATTATAATTATGAATAAATTTTAATAATTTTTCAAACAAATGTAAATATGTTTTTTAATTTTTTTTTCATCTTTCATTATGTTTTGGTACATTTTTCATTTCTTTTTTTAGTTGCAGATTGAGATTATTTTTGAACAATAATATAAAAAATTGGATTTATTTTAAAGTACTATGATTTTGATTGGATATTTTTTCATAAGCTTATAGGAATTTATTTAATGGGGAGAAAGAAGCGATTCTGTATTATACAATCTAAATAATTATAATTTGCACCAAAAAATATATCTGTTATAGTTTATTAGAATTAAAGAATTTTAATATAAATAATTTTTTTACATAAATATTCTTGAAATTTATTTAATTTAATATTCTTGAAATTGTAATTCTTCAACTTGATTTAAATTAACTTCATTTTTTTCTCTTACGAATTCAGAATTAATAATGAAATGTTCAATTCAACTTATTTAATAATATTTTATTAACAAAAATGTCAGTAAATAAAATGCGTCATTTATCTTTTAAGTTAATCAAAGTTAAGGAAAAGTTAATCAAATAGTACAAAAATAGTATCATTTTTGTGAAATAAAAGAAATATGTTTTACTTAAAGTACAAGTTAGACGTGCACAAATAAAAAAACTAACGTTCCCAAAGTAAAATATGTATTTAGAAATACTTAATATAATTTAATGTATTTATGTGTTGTATTTTATGTTTATATAATTGTGTATCTTATTATTTACTTAATGCACTCTAAATTATTATTTTGTTTTAATTTTCTTGTAAATGCATATACATACATATATATATATATATATATAATTTGAAAAGTTTTAAAACTAAAATTATATTGCTTTACAGATCTTCCAGATCTCGTAAACTTAGGTGATATGCAGTGAATATTAAAAGGAAAAATTTTAGATTATTATTTAGAAAATATTCGTCATTTATTCTAAAAGGCAAATTTTTTCGAAAATTTTTTCGTAAATAAAATTTTGTAAGTGTTTTTTTTTTTTTTGTTTAAATTTACAAAAAAAGGAAATTCAAATAAAATTAATAATTTTGCAATAATTTTAAGGATTTTAAATATTAAAACAAGAACATAAACAAAAAACACTTATAAAGCAAGACGAAGAACAAAATGTTGTAAAAGTTTCTTACAAATAAATACATATTAGATATTTTGCAAAATTTTAATTTTCTCTTTCACTTTTTAATAAAAATTAATATTTAATTTTTATTTTAAATACAAAACTCAAAAAGATATTAAGTTCTAATTAACACAAAATTAAAATATATTAATTTCCAATTTTTTGTTTAATTTTTTTATTTGCAAAAAAAAAACATTTTTTAAAATAAAAAACAAAATATAATTAAAAAATTATTCGTTTTTTACAAAAACTTTAACTTATTATGAAATGCAAGTTATTCTTTAAAAAATTACCTAGCAAAATCATTATTAAAATGATATCTGAAAATAATATTGCGAATAGAGATATTGAAAATTTCATACACGATCAAGACAAGTATTGCTATTATTATTTATTTAAATTAATTAAGTAAAATTAAAAAAATCGTTTCATAATTATCAAAATTATTGATGAGTGAAGTCTTTTCGAAAACTAATTAAAAGAAAACAATACAATTTGAAAATAAAAACATAATTTTAAGTTTTTTCACAATTTCATAAAGACGCATCTAATAAATTATTCGATTCAGCTTTCAAATTAATAAATTAATTCGTGTTGTCTTAATTTTATTAACTAGAAAATACTCACTGAACAGTGTATGTAAAAATATTGGAAAAAACTTTCGATGAAATAATAATTCCAATCGATGGATTTCAATTGATGAAAATTCAAAATTGTCTTTTCGATTTCTGATTTTAATCTATATTTAATAATTTTATTTATTTTAAACCTCCTCTTTCTTATAACCTCTTCTTATTTTTTTTTTTAAATAAAATTTATGAAACTTTTTATTTACCATTAATATTTTGATATTATTGATTTAATTATAAATTCACATAGAAAATATAATAATCGCACTATAGTATTCATTTAAATTTAGAATATTTAAGCAATTTCTATTTCAATTTTACAAGTGCATGTTTTATGAATTTTTTCCCAAATATTAATCAAATAATTTTATATGTTAAGAAAATTTGTAAAAATGCATGCTATTTTTTTAATCTTTTTAATCATATTTATTGTGTTTATTTTGAAAATATTTAAATATTAAAACTAAATAAATAATAACAATAAGTTAAACTATTTTTAATTTTCTTAAAATATTAACAAATAATTTCTTTTTTCCTCTTGAACAAAAAAAATAAACATTTATTTAATATCTAGAATGAATTTAATGCAACTAAATAGAAAAACTGAACAACAATTACAACAGCAACAATCACAAAATTCAACAAATAATTCAACTGTAAATTCAAATTTAGCCACAACCGCAACGACTAATACAATTTCTTCAACAACACCATCATCATCATCTGTGATTGTGTCGCATGATATAACAGCACCAACACTAAGCAGCCTAAATAAACAAACTAAAACTTATAATAATCAATTAATATCAAATACAAGTAGTAACAATAACAATAATAATAATGTTATGGCATCAATATCAGAAAGTAAAATACCTATTGTTCGTGATGAGAGTGGTAAGACATCATCACGTATTGGTATACATCATATGACGTTACGTCGTGGTAGATCTAAGGCAAGAGTACGTACTTCAGTAAGTTTAGAAAAATCATATCATGATAACTCATGTACTGGTACAAATAATAATATAAATAATAATTTTAAAAATAATAATAATAATAATATGAATAGTAGTAATGCACAAGCAATCACATCTGTTACAGCAACTATTTCATCAATACCAATTGCATCCACTTTTAGTATTATTAATAAAGAAACTCCTACAATAAAATCAACATCATCGTCTCCATCATCTTGTCAAATAAATAATAATAATAATAATAATAACAATAATAATAATATTATTGTTGATAATAATTCAAATCGAATCATTAATAAACTAATTGATGATGAAAGTTTAGATGACGGTGATAGCATTTCATTAGAATTAAATAATTCATTAGCAACAAATACAAATAATTATGATAATAATGATGAAAATCAACAAAAACAGCAGCAGCAGCAGCATAATCGACAAAATCAGAAACAACAACAACAACATCAACAACATATATCATCAATACCAATTTCAGGTTTAAATAATAACAGCTTTAAACGTGCTAAACGTTCACTTAGTAGTACCCGTATTGATAAAGAAAAATGTGATGAATACAATACAAAGTTATTAAGAAAAACTGCTAATAGTAACATTAATAATAACAATAATAATATTAATAATAATAATAATAGTAATACAAGTAATAATAACATTAATAATAATAACAATAATAACAATAATAGCAATAATAATAATGATAATAATAATAACAGCACAGAAAATAGAACAACACCATCAACAACAAGTGGTAGTTCAAATTCATTAACTAGAAATACATCAGTAACAAGGAAAATGCATTCATCAAACATTCATAACAATAATAATAATAATAATAATAATAATAATAATAATAATAATAATAATAATAACAATAATAATATGGTTTCTGGTTGCACTAATAACATAAATAACAATAATAACAATATTTTAGGAAATGGTAGTAACACAATACCATGCTCAAGGGTCTCAAAAATACCAGAACAATCATCGCTTTCATTAAAATTAAGAAAAAAAATTAGTTATTAATTTTATTTATTTAAATTTAAGTTAAAAGAAAAATTATTAATTTTGCATTTTTTTTTTGTTTGCAAGTTTTAAAAAATTTTTTTTTTTTTTTTTTTAAATTTTGAACTTTATTAATAAAATATGCAATTATTTATAATAAAACTATTTTGTTTTTGACTTAATTTTAAGATTAAAAGTGCAATTTAAGTGCAGTATAAATAAATTTTAATAGAAAATGGTAATAATAAACTGGTCAATATAAATTTTAAATAGATATTTATTTCATTTTGCATTTGACTGAAAAAAGTATGTAAGATACTTAAAAATCGTTTCGAAATTATTGCAACAAATTGGATATTCAGTTATAAATATTGTACAGATTAAAATATTTTATTAATTTTAGTTTTTTTAATTTTAATTTTTTTAATTCAGACTTGAACAAAGAGTGTACTAATATATATCAATATTGTATTCATGTGAAACTTTTGAAATTTTTAAGGCTCTAGAGTCTAGATATTTTAAAATCTCAGTAAAAAGTTGTGAAAAATGGAATAAAAAATATTAAAAAAGTCATTTTTCCACATTTATTTCCTATATTTGCATTTTTAATAATTTTCATTCAACCTTACAATATAAAAGTTAAAAAGGTAAAAATTGACACTGAAAAAAAAAAGTGAGATTATTAATTATGCCATTTTTTAAGTTTCAAATTGACTTATTGCATTTATTTTTTTTTTAATTTTACAAAAATAATTTATTTTAATTATACATGCTTAATTATAAAATTAAATTTAACATTTAATTAATTAAAAGATTATTGAAATATTTATTGTATTATATTTTTTTCTTGTGCAATTCAAAGTATGATTTTAAAATTTTTTACTTGGTTTTCGAATATTACTTTTTTTTTGGTTTTGTTTTTTGCAAATTACTATTTTATCAAAAAAATTATATTTAAATTATTGAATGCATATACATAAATAAGAGGATATATAAATTTTATTCAAATTTGTATTTAATTTTAATACAATCAAAATTAATTATTTATTTAAAAATGAAAAATAATTTATTGTTATTCAAGTGGCTGAAAATCAATCATGGAGTAGGTTTATAGTCAAAAATCGGCTTCAAAAATTTAAACATATTTTAAAAATATGTAAGTAACAGAAAATCTTTTATGTTATTTAAAAAAAGTAATAAAAAAATATGTAATTGGAAAGAATAATAAAAAAATTGTTATTTTTAAATAGTATTACAATTGTTGTTTTACAATATGTAATTAATATAATTTTTTATATTAAATCAATTAAAATTACAAAAAATTTTCTTTACTTTTTATACAAAATTTATAAAATCCATTTGAATTTCAAGTTAAATAAATTTTTTAGATACTTAAAACAGTTTTTGTTAAAGAAAAAATTGAAAGTGCACTTTATAAATTGCAAACTATGTACTAATCTAGGGTTCTAGATAAAAAATAAAACAAAGAAACAAAACATTAATTTACTTTAATTGTACATTAATAATTGTGTTATTTAAATTATTATTAATAACAATTTGCGTTATTATTGCAAATAAAAAAAAATAAATAATTAAAATTTATTATACGTATTACAAAATAATAAACTTTGTAACTTATACATACAATGTACTTATATATTATGTTACTAAATGTTTTTTATTTAAAAATTGTACAGTACACAATTGTACAGTATTTGTTTATCTACATTTGTAAACTCATATTTTTCATGAAAATTTTTTAATTTTTAAAAGAAATTTATAATTCATATATTTCAAAAATAAAACCTAATCAAATATTTAACGTCATTTAATTTATAAATTATATTTGCAATGTAGGATTAAAAATTTCCATGGGTGATTTTATATTATTAGAAAAAATGTATTAATTTTGTGTAAATTGTAGATAAATGTGAAAAAAGCTTTTGATATTTTTCACTACTTTTGATTTTCTGGAAAATCAATGATTCTAGATTTAAAGCAAATTTGGCTTAATCAGCAATCAAAAAATAATAGATGCATAATATTTCAAATTGAACTATAAATTCAGAACAATTATTTATAATCATACACATGCTTTTTTTTATGTTTTTGCTCTTACTGCAGAAATATCTTTGCAAATAAAAATTGCTTTATTATTGTCTTGCAATGATAGTGCAAAAATTAATATTTTCTGTTATCACAGCAAAACTTTAAACTCATATAACACTTTTTGCTTTGAAATATTATAATATAAGTTTTAAAAGATTTAAATTATAAACTAAACATATGGTACATTTAAATAATTTAAAGATTTTAAAACTTACATTCATTAATTAATTTATTAATTAATAACATAAATTTTCATGAAAAAATTTTAAAATTTACAAAGTTTTTACCTTTTTCTCTTACAAAATATCTTCGTTAAAATATTGATTTGTTTTGTTTTTATATACAAAGTTTATTATATTATATTATTTATATAAAAGAAAGTAAAAATATGTAAAAATTTCAATTACTTTCTTGAAGTAAAATAAAATTATTGAGTAAAAAATATTTGTTATTAAATATTTAGAAATAATTTTATTATTAGTAAATTATTAATCAATTGTTAATATTATATTGTACCTTAGATTAAATTTTACAAAAATGAAAATCAAATAAATAAAAAAACATTAATGAAAATAAATATGTACAATAATAAAGTGAAGATTAAACACAATGAATTAATTTAATTTATAACATCAATATGAAATGAAAATTATCTAAACTAAAATATTTATTTTTATAACATAGCAATATAACAGTCTGAATAGAATACTGGAAACTCACTGTAAATTTGTACGAGGTTCCATTGTTCATAACTTTTTTTTTCAGATTAAAAGCAATTTTAGTAAGAAGTTTTTATTGCAGAATATTTCTTTTTTAAACAATTTGTATTTCAATGTTAAAATGAATTTTATATATCCAATTTCAAAACTGAGTAATGCATCTAACTGCATCTTTAAGTTACCTTAATAAATCAAGATTCTACAATTACATATTAGAGACGTATAGTTTAAACAAGTGAAATTTGAAATACAACTTACAGAACTAATTTTGACAAAAAAGAATGAGTACACATTATAGGCGTAAGTTCTTTTAGCTTTGATTTTGTCGCGTTTTTCAGAAATAAACAATAATTTGATTTTTAAAACAAGAAAAAAATAGTTTATTGTTGCACAATAATGCTCTAAAGTCAAAGATTTTCTGTAGGAATCAAAAATACAAAAAACAATTTTTTTTTATTATTTAAATAAAATATATTCGAATTTAAGTTCTTAAAGAACGTAGCGAGAAATTCATCTAAAAAATATTTAAGTTTAGTGTTATAATAATTAATTCAAAAATTTAACAATAAAAAAGAAAACCAAGAATAAATAATTCTAAAATTATATTAGGTATGGCAAGAGAAGCTTTATATGGTATTGTGTAAAGAGAAGCTTTATGTCACACATAATGTGAAACTTTAACCCCAGAAACTAAAGGTTAAGAAATTAAATAATTAAATAAAGACAGGTCTAGATTTTTTTTTTGCTTTCTCGGCCTATTTATATGTTATCACCTCTTTTAAATAATTAGATCATAAATCAAAACTAAGGCTTAATAAAAAAAAGGAATATTAGTGAAAACTAGTAAATTTTTGAAAGTGCCTGTGGTATTAAAATATTTAATTAGCATATTGATATAATCCAAAAAAAATATCAATATACCTATTAAAATATATTAATACAAATGTGAGTAAACTTTTGTAAATCAAAGATTATGAGGGCTTACTATAATAGCCTTGAGATGCCTTAATACCGACTGTCAAATAACACTCAAGGCCGAAATTTGCTTAATAACATTTTAGTCAATTATAATGGACTTAAGAGTAAATACCAAAAAAAACTAAAGGGGCTTAAGTTTTATATAAACGACGTCCTAATGATATAAGATATAACGAAAAGTTTCATATTTAGATGTATAATATTGCATACATTCGCGGGAAAAATAATCTGACTTAAGATATCTTAAGATATCTGACTTAAGCCTACTTTAGTTAGCCCTATTAGAATTATATTATTGGAGTTTGAACAATTGAATTGTTTTTTTTTTTTTATTAATTATGAAAAGGAGTTAAGTAATAGAGCTACATATACTGAATAAAAATTCATCAATTTAAAAGTAAAGTATCTACTAATGAGAAATTAAAAACTGCATTTTAATTAATAATGTTGCAAATCAGCATGATTTTAAAAAAATTTATTTCATATTTTAATTAATTTCAATTTAATGATGATTCGGTATTATTCAGAAAATGATTTTTTAGCAGAAAGCTACAATAATACAATAGCTAGCTAATCAAGATATTAAATTAAAAGATTTTGCGGCTAGAAAAGTAATATAATTTAAAAAAACACTTATTAGTTGAATTATTTAATGCTTTAAATTTCAATTTGGTATTTAAATATTTAGGTATTTACTTTTACATAATGCTTGTGTTTCATAAAGAAAGTATTTTTTCAAAAAATTTCCTTTTTCCGAAGCAAATCCTTGTAACGCATTAGCATCCAAATAATCTGAAATACGAATTTAATGACTAAAAAATACAAAAAAAAATTAAAAAAATAAAGTTGATTTTTGCCAAAAATATAAATTAATGATTATAACAAAATGTTAATTTAGTCGTAATTGAATTATAAAAATTTTGGCTCGTCTTATAGCTTTAAATCCAATCAACACATTATAATATAGCTTTAAAAATCAGTAGTAAGTGTCAAGCAGTAGTATTTCAATTTATTACTAGGTATGGTGAATTTTGATTTATAGTTAAATTAAAATTTATAGGCTCCTGTAATTAATAAATATTTATATTTTCGAAATATATATTATATAATAAATAAAAATTAAATAGAAAAAAAAAAGTAAAATTTCAAGTATTACTAGCTTGAATGTAAAAGGTTTGTATAACAATAATTTTATAGTATAAACTATAATATTATTTATATAAATTTATAGTGTGGCACTATTTTTTTTTTCAATTAAATTTCATATATTATATTAAATTTATTCCTATTATGAAAAAGTTTATTTCGTATTTAGTTGATCTTGCCCCTTGCAATTTTATAAAATCTTTGCCATAAGTAAAGAAAAATACCATAACATTCTGAAAAATTATTATTAAAAAAAATATTTTAAAGTAGAATTTCCTTAAATTTTAAAGCTAATTAATTTAATTTATAATTTTTTGAATTTTTAAACAAATTTATAATTTTATTAGCTTTTATAACAAAAAATGTTTTTTTTTTTTAATATAACAAAATAAAAAATTAAATATCAACACTGTTTGTATTATAGAAATTAAAATAATAAATATTTATAAAAGCTGATTATTGCTAATAAATAGTAAAATTAATTACTACAAATTAAACAAAAGTTTTTTATATATAAAAGAAAATCATAAAAACCTTTTTAAACAAAAGTAAAATAAAATAGAAAAAAAATGAATGAAACTTTGTAGAAAATTAAGTAAAAAAAAAAAATATAACATAAATGAGTACCTAAACTATTAAAACAAAATTTAGTAATATAAAATTTAATTAATAAAATAAAATCTCAATGTGCTTTTAATTTTTGTTTAATCATTTTTATTTATTATATTAAACAGAAAAAAAACAACAAATTTTATACAAGACTTTATCATTTAAAATTAATTGGCGACAATTTAAGATTAATTAAGTTCTTTAGTTAAAGACTGTTCTATCAGCATCGTCAGTTCCTATTCTTTTCCATTAAAATGCTCTTTCAGACAATCAGTTGTTTTTTTTTTTTGGAAAGTGGAAATTTGTAATTGAAAGGATATTGCAAGTAGATCAGAATAGGAAATAACAATATTGATGAAATACGAAACATAATATCAAAACGATTTTAATTATCTAATATTATAATTTGAGGAAAGCTTGATAAAAATATTTTTGGTTATCTGTAAATAAAGTTAAAGGAAAATTTTCATTAACTCTATTATTACTACTGTAAATAGAATTTGTGGATTAAGAATCCAATTTTTTTTTTGTAATTACTGACAAATTGCTGTTTGTATTTCGAAAATTAAAATTTTATAAAATGTTATAATATTGAATTAATATTGTTTATATTAATTTTTAATAATTTATATTGAAATGATATTAATTTTTAAGTTCTAACATATAAAATAAATATTTTTATTTATGAGAAAAAAGAAAAACATTTTCATTCTGATAAAAGACCATAAAATAAACATTTGTTAAAAAAAAATGTCTATTTTATTTTTTAATGTCTTAATTGAAAATTTATATTGAAAACGTATAACAATATTTATTAATAAGAATTTATAGATCAAAACAAAAACATGTAACCATTTATGAATTGTATGTAAAGAAAAAATAAAAAAAAAAAATAGATACCAAAAAAATTTCAATTTTCTAAGTTTTATATTGTTTTCTTTTTGTAGGTCCTGTCCCACAAAATTCAAATTGTTTCTTTTGATTTAAAGCATTTTTTAATTACATACTCACATTATGATAGAACATTTTGATTGAAAGCCCCAAAAAAAATAATTATGATAGAATATTTGGCTCAAATATCATAAAAAATTGTTTTTATTTAAAAATTGATTTAAAAAAGAAATTTATTCGATTCAATATACTCGTAAAATTTATTCTTTTGAATATCACGTTATTATTTAATTTTGGTTTTTAAATAGTATTTATTGGATCAAAATCCTTCCCAAAAAAATTTGAAACTATTTTCATACATATTATTATGAAATTTAAATTTCCAAATTAAAAAAAATGAAAAAGTGTTTTTAAAAATATTTATCCAAAACTATGAGCGTCAGTCTAAATTTCTTTTATTTTCATTTACAAGCTAAAATTATACAATTTAAAATACTACAGGAGACATTTAAACATTTTTGCAATTTCTATATAAAATTTACTTTATAAAATTGTAATCAATAAAAATTGTACATACATACAAATATACATAGTTAAATAACATAAATTTTTTACAATATATCTGGAAGAGATAACAAATACTCTAGAGTCATTATTTCACGATCCATATTAGTGCTAATACGCTCAAGTTGATAAAATGTATTTCTTAAACTATGACTTTCCTTATGCATATTCTCTTCCATAATATTTAATTTTCGTATAAGTTTTAATTCCTCAGAGGTATAATCAGGCTGTTCATCTAATAATTGAACCTAAAAAATAAAGTAATTAATTAATAACAATTAATTTTCTTTTTAATTTTCAATTACAAAACTATATTAGCATTTATTTTAATTTTTAATATATCAGTAAATAAATAAGATATCGTCAATTAATATCAGTACAGGTCTGTGAAAAATATCATCATTCGAAATCATTTTTATGAGACTACTTATAACCCGTATTTTCCAAGATGCATCACACTATGTACAAGATTAGTATTGAATCAGGGTTGCAGTTTTCAGTATTAAATCAGTGTTAATACTAAAATCACAATATAGTTGTGATGCACCTTAGCAAATTTGGGGTTGTAATTAAAAGCAGAAATTAATATCAAAAATATACCTTATCTTTTGTATCACTTCCAACGTCAACACTTAATGGCGCATTCGCTGGATAATAAAAATCAGTTTGAGTTGATCTACTAAAATTCAAATACTCAATAGTTAAATCATTTGTTATTTTACATCGTTCCTAATAATTAAAAAAGAAAAAAAAAATAATATGAGTACATATTTTAAAATTTAATTTAATTTAATTTAAAAAAAAGTCATACCAATTTGTAATGAATATTCGAAATTGAATTTTCTTGTTCAAGGGGAAACAATGAAAATAAAGATGCTGTCCGAATATTTTCTAAATCAATCTCCAATTCGTTATGTTGCAATGATCTTTTCAATATGATTGCTTGATATAAAATATTTTTATTATCATCTCTAACATAAGTGACAACATTTGGATTTAAATTTTCCCGTTTATAAATGGTATCTGATTCATTAACTATATCATATATGAAATCTGTATGATTAACAGTGTATTGTATTAAGAGCCAAGATTGATATCTTTTACACGATTCAGGATCTTTAAAAGACTTTAAAAGAAATAAAAATGTTATTAAAATTAATCTTTTATAGTTTAAAATTAACCCTTTCGACCCGATTTTTGAATAATTGCTGGTATTTATCCAGCCGATCGAAAGGATTAAAATACTAAAAATGAAACGTTACTTACCAAATTGAAAACTTTTGATATTAAAAAACTTAATTGATTTAAAACATCATTACGATTATTTGATGCATACAATATTATCACTTTTCGTCTATAATTCTCATCCAAAATATATAAATCTTGATTATTTGAATACTTAGTATTATTTAAATTCCATAAAAATTTTCGTGTATCAATTATCGAATATACAATACAATTTTCATTACGTTCAAATTGCACTAAAAACCAAGAATTATTTCTAATCTCATGATTAACATAATTATCATTCCTTCGAGATAAAATTATATTCGATTGAATCTCAGATGTTGATGTTATTACAGATGTTTTTTCACTTTCATTGAAATTACATTTTGTTAAAATTGAATTAATTTTAATAATATTTGTTAGACGTTTTCTTAATTCTTGTTCCAATACAAAACGATCATTTGAAAAATTAATAATACGTCCAACATTTATTATATTATTACGTTGAAATTTTATTTTACTATATATTTGTTTTTCAATTTCAATACTCGTATTATTATTAATTAATATTAAATCTGATCTATTAATAAGTAATAGAATTTTGTTTGGTTCTTGTTGTATTAAATACCATTCTTTTAAATTATGATTTAATGTTGAAAATAATATTGGTGATGATAAAGAAGATGATGATGATGATGGTAAATTTAATGCTAGTGGTTCTGGATACAATTGTGGTGGCGGTTGCGGTTGTTGTGGTGGAGCTACTGGTATAAAATTAATTATATCTCTATTGTATCTGTTTAACATTTTATAAATTTTTTTTTTTTTGTATTATTATGCAGAAACGTAAATTCCAAAATTTCTTAAATAATGTTTAAACATTAAATTCTAAAATTAAACTAAATTACTTTAACGAAATTCTCAAGTTTTTATTGCAATAATTTATATATGTACATATATGTATATAAAAGAATATTTCAGGTAGGGTTATATAGTTATTGCTGTACAAAAAAATAAATAATTTTTATGACTTTTCTGCCATGTTTAACTTTAAATTTAAATATTGCAATGGAAATGTCAAAAATTTGAATGCTGATACTGAAGGTATAGATTTAATAATTAAGAAAGAACACTGGCATATTTACATATGTACATACATACATATGTGTTTTATATATAAGCACATGTTATATGAAGTATTAATAATATTGCAACTGCAAGTATGTACATATGTGTAAAAGGTAGATTTTTAAAAATGTACAATGTAAAAATTTTTAATACAAGCGATTATATGTAACAAGATTGAGTTTAATAGTTGACAACATTTAAATTATGGTTAAATTTAATTGAATGCATTAACAGCCAATGATGTTAAACTTTGGCAATAATAACATTTAACAATTTTAATAAATTGCCTGTTTAAAGCAGAAATATCCTAAGTCCGTTTCTATCAAACCAAAAAAAAAAATTTTAAGCAATATCCTATTTTAGTTGCACGCAAAAGGCTTAAATGTATACCACGTTAATACGATATCAGTAGTTTGGCTTAAAAATAATTCACGCGTAATAATCCTATGTCCAGATATACATATGTACATACATATATTAGTTATGTGGACTTAGGATTGCCATCTAAAATTATATTATTATTGTTTAAATAGAAGTTAAATTTCGACTTTTAAATCGCAATTTTCGACATTCTCATGAACAATTTACAAATTATGACATAGGAGAGTCCTGTTCTACACAGGTGAATTGACAAATTAAATGTTTAGTTTTTTTAACAATTAATTAAAATTTATTTTTCATTATGAAAACTTACGATTTCTTAAATTAAAATTATTAAAATATAAAGCCAATCTGGAATACATGAAGTGTCTGAAATTTTCATCGTGTAGTTTCCTAAATTCAGTATTGTCCAAATTTTTGTAAGCCATTCTTTCCTTTTTTTCTATTTTAATTCTTATGTTTAATTTAAATTTAATTATTTACTTAATTTTTTATGAGGTTTTATACTATAAAAATGTCGTGTTAAAAATTACAATAATATGAGCACAAATTCCGATACACCAAACTGAATAACCACGAATAACTAAAAAATTCTTATAAATTCTCTTTCAGTATGCAAAATTTTTTTGAATGGTATAGAATATTTGGAATTACGTTTCTAACATTTTTTTTAATCTATCTCAACACAATATCATGAAAACTTTGATGAGTGTTTCCTGAATTTCAAATTTTTAAGAGAGCTTAAATTGATGTGGCTTAAATTAATAAAATTTTCTTTGATATAAAAGAAAATATTTGAAAAATTCAATCTGTATATAATTTGATACACCTGTTTTAGGACTATCAAAATATTTCATTTATTCATTAAAAATAGGATTCTTGTAATTACAATAAAGTCAAGTAATCACACAGAATTTTGAAAATTTTAATCGAATTCATGTAAGTCTATCCTATAAACGAGAAGAACAAAGATTTGTGTTGTATATGATAAGCAGTTATTCTAAAATACGAATAATGAGCAAACATTTTTATAATATTTTAAGTTTTTAAATCTTTGTTTTATTAGAGATTATAAAAATTTATTAGAAAATATTAAGTACAAGGTGTGTTTCAAAAAACATACGCTGTTATATTGTATTGTTAATACATATACATGAAAACAGTATACCACATATTAAACTAGATGATGTGTTACATATTATGTAGGAATATTGTTCACTTTCGGTTACGCGTTAAATTCTAATCTAAATATATGTATGTACGTATATAACCTACGAGTCAATAAAATTAATAAAGCAAAATACCTGTTCTCTTTCTAAATATTTTGTAGTTACATATTATAACACATGTTTGCAATATGTATGTATGTATATGATTCACTGTTCTAGGAAAACACATTTGCTACCTATGTGCATACTTTGTAATATATGTTCAATAAATTTTTAAAAACATGCCGCCGAATTCGTATATAAAACCAAATAAAGTGATAATACAGAATAATAGTTTTGAGAAATTATTAACATAAAGTAAATAACAAAATATTTAATTTATATACTTTATACAAATTACAATTATTATGTCGTTTAATAATTATCCATATAAAAATCATAATAAACTTAGGTACCTTAATATTAATTCATCATTTATACCAGAATGGTCTTTAACATCATACCATCACCATCTTCTCCAGTATTATCTTTAACAATAAATAGTTTTGGAACAATATCATCAAGATCATGTTGAATATCATGGTTTCTTGTACAACAATTAGAATCAAATATTCAATTCAGTTGATTTGGTAAATCAATCAATAACTAAACCTACATATATTATGTTATGTGCTTCCGATAATTGACAATTTCTCGAAGATGAATTAACAAAAAAAAACTTGCTATAAATGAAAAAATTTAACAAAATTCTAATACTTTAAATTCGTTATCAACTGAAGAGTTATGGTTTTATTTTTACAATTTAATAGAAATGAAAAATGTACTATACATAAAATTTTAAGAAAAATTGAGATACCATGGAATTTAAATGAAAGATATTCGAGAGGTAGAGAAAATTTAATTGAAGATGGTAATGAAAAACATTTAGCAACAATCTTACATTTTTCTGCTAATGAAAATGAAATAATGAAAGAAATGTACTAAGAGAAAAATCCTCTCATTTGGTAAAAATAAATTAAAATTTTAGACTGTAAAAATACTCAAGAATCTATTTTTTAAAATTTACCCAGTTAGACAAAAATTAGCATAACATCTAATAAATGAAATGGAAAGTTCGTACCTAAGTAACTTCATATTTTTCACACAAGTCATGCATATTCGTTTTATTTTTGTCTTTTAATTATTCAATTAATTTTACGTAAGTAGGAGGTCTTGAATTTGAAAACTTATTAAAAATCTGTAGATACATATTGAATAAAATTATTATATAAGTTTCTGAAATTAAAGGACCTACTCGTACTATATTGATGTATGCAATACGAACAAAAATTCAAAAAGTAAAGTTGACGTAAAATCTTATATTTGGTAGGATGTAACCTATGTAAACGTTACATCATACGACAAGGAAATTATAAAGAAGCAGAAAATAACTGAATATTGAACCAAAATAACTGATTTAATTTCTTAAATATATAATTGTTGCAGCTACGGTCTTTACATACTTTGCCTAGTTACATTACATTTTAAGTGTAGATATACGTATCTATACATATGTAGTCATAAGAGCTACAATTATTGTTACTAACAGGTATTAGGAAAGAATTTGCTAAAATGGTGTTTTTATGGGAGGTGACCGTCAACCATTTAGTAGTTTTATACATACATATGTAGAGTCCCACACGCTTGTCCATTTAAATGTAAATAATCATTTATAGCTTTATGTTAAAAATTTGTTTTATTTAAAAAATTATGTATGTATGTATGTACATATATTCATCAATTTTATTTAACAATTTTAAGTCCTAAATTTTTTTGTAAAAATCGTATTAAATCTTTTAAACTCTCATTTTGTATCGTAGGGCTTTTCAAAATCCATAAAAAGCTATCTTTGCCATGTTTCTTAACAACTTTTCTGATATTTGACGATAACATTTTCATATTATTTTTATTTATTGAATAAAGCACATTACGAACGGATATTAATGGTCCTGTTGAAAAATTTTATAATTTTAAAAATAATTTTCTAGAAACACATACAGGGTGTATCGTATAAGATGGAAAATAATTTCAGGGATGATTTCTTAATCTTATTTCCAGGAAAAAATTGTATAAATTGTATACATACAACATTCACAAATATTTTTTTAGTTTAGTTTGTATAATTTATATGAACATTTAACACGTCTTACTGGCAAAACTATGAGATATAGAGGAAAATGTTATATGCGTTAACTTTTAGCTATTATCGTAGCGCGTCAAAAAAACAAAACAGAAAAAAAAAATCAAAAAAAATTTTCGAGAAATTTCGAGTTTTTTAAAAAAAAAATTTAACAAAACAAACAAAAATTTTGACTTTGATGAGCTGTATCTCGAAAACTATGGCTCAAATCAAATGCTTAATTGAAAATAAAGAATAATCAATTGCCTGTAAAACAAACTCTCAATGATAACTCTATGTTGTATGGTTCCGAAGTTATAAGTATTTATTTATATGCAGGAAAAGTCCGGTAGCTTTTTTTTTAACAAGCTGCAGCTCCAAAACGAGTATATCTGCACCCACTTATACAATTTTTTGCTAGAAATTGATCAAAGAATCATTCCTGAAATTATTTGACACCTTCTGCGATACACCTTGTATAAATATTTTAATTAAACAGTATGTATACATATAAATATAAGTATGTATTTCAATTTTAGAATCTTACCATCGATGTAAATTGAATCTGTTATACCGCTTCGTGCTGAACCTTAAATGAAAAGCAAAAAAGAAAACTTTTTTTAATAAATTTAAGAGTAACACAAAGTTTTTAAATTCAATTAAACTGTTATTAAATGTTTTTGCGGCTGTTATTTGATTATCTGATATGCAAATAATTATTTATTATAGAATTATTATTATATAATTACGCATTATATAAATATACATTGGTAAGTTATTATTTATATCTTCTAATGCAATAATTAATATTATTAGCATTGCAAAGTTGACTTAATTTTGGAAAGCGAAATTGGGTGAAATTTTCTTATGTTTTTAGGGCTCACTTTTGAATGAATTGGCTTAAGAGCATACGATCAATTCAGCAATTCCCGGAATTAGGACTCAAGATTCAAAATTTTTTGGAAAAATCACTTAGTATTGTTAAAATTGTAATATAAATAGAAATGAAAAGTTTTAGGATTCGCTGCTACGCTTTGAGAAATTTAAAATTTTTTTCCGAATCTAAAGTTATATAATAAAATACTATAAAAGTTAAAAATACTTATTAGATTTAATTTTGTACATACAAAACTTATTAAGTTTGTTTTTAGATGTACCGTATTTGAGGCTGTGAAAATAATTACATGAATATTCCTAAATAAAATTGTTGCTACCACAAGATGTACATGATTATTTTTAAAATTTGAGAGTTAATAACCTATCTATAAGGAATAAAAATTTTTAACTACTTTTCTATAACATCAATGTAAGTCAATATTTAATATAAATTTAAAGATCAATTGGCCTCATATTGTGCCTATACTTACCATCAAATAAATATTTGACAAAATCAATAATATTATCGGATGACGAATCTGATAATGAAGATCCAGATTCTGAACCACAATCATCATCAGAATTGCTATTATTGTCTGAGTCATCATCATCAGATACTTTAAAAAATATTCCTTTTTCATCACATAAATTACCAAGAATGCGTCTTAGTTCACTTGTATCATCAATTTCCATATTTTATTTAATAATTTTGTATTACAGTACAAAAAATTTAAATTATCCTACATACTTAAACACTATTGGGGTAATAAAATAATTTGTTTTTTATTAATTCCAAATATAAAAAAAAAAAAGTTCGCAACATAAAATTTGCACTACTTACAAATTGTGCTATTTATTTCAGTTCAAGACCAAAAAAATACTGATCATCAATGAAAAAAATCTCATTTAAGCCACTCCTTTAAATTAATAAAAAAAAACAAAATCGCTCATTTTTTATATTCCTCTTCTGAAACTCAATTTTTTATTCTGAATTCTGATCAATTTTCTTCTTCTGGGCTTCTATGCGATTTAAGTAAAAAATGAGAATTGTAAACTATGGTCCAGGTGTTTGTTTCACTGAATTGAATAGTAAACAAGAGAATTGAAAACAATTAATTTAACTCAGTTTTTTTTTTTGTTTTTGGTTTTCTTTTTTTTTGATTATTTTTAGAATCTATATATAAATATAGTGGTACATTTTATGAACAGTAGTAATGTACACTATGTGACTATATCATAACAAAATATATATAGTAGGTGCGTGATGAAAGTTAGCACCAACAGTAGGGTGTCTTAATCAAAATTTTTGTTGTATTAAACTACTTTGTTGTGCTAAAATTCTTCAATTTTTTTTTTATTTTATATAAAATCAATTATATTTCATCAAAAAGATAATTTATAATATTTTACAACTACCTACAATGCACTCGCCCAAAAAGCAAACAGAAAAATGGCAGATTCTAAGAACTACTAAAACCAAAAATTTTAATAAAATAAGCATACTAAATTTATGTAAAAACTGAAATTCATTATATAAACGACTGCAAAAAAAGGCACGCTTTTCATTTCATGTAGTAAGTACATACATATATTGTTTCATAAATATTTATTCCATAACATGAAAGAACAAGTGTACATAAATATTATTCAAAAATTTTGAATCTGTTTAAGTATGATCTATAAATGAGTTATTATCTTAAAAAAATTAGTATTTCTATAAAAAATAAGGTATAAGTTATAATATTTTTAATTAAATTATACTGAGTTTAGTTGAACTGAAGCTATTCCTATTATGTTAAAGGCACATGAACATCAAATCGGTTACCATTATATCATATGAATATAATATTATTCCAATAACAAGTATTTGTTATGTAGTGTTTAACAATCTTAATGAAATGTTGGTAAAATATGAAAAAGTTTAACTTATCAACAAAACATAATAATTATGTTGATATTTTTAATAAAAATCAGGATTTATGTCTATTTCAAAAATGTCAGTTTCTTCATTCGCGGTTTCACTGGATGAATCATAAATTTGTTTATTTTTTACAATAACGTCTTCTTCTATATACTCAATTTTATTTTTATTTTTTCGTCGTCCATATACAGTATCCTCAACGTTATTATTTGAATAAAAATTATTTAAATCCTCTTCTTTTACAATAATTTCGTAATATGAATTGTCGCTAACATTTTCGTTTTGTGCTGTGAGCTTTGATTGAATTGATTCCATTGGTATAAAGTTATTAATATCCATGTGTTTATCTTGAATATCTTTTGAAGATATTGGTTTTTCAACGGTTTCTTTGATCTTAAGAATTTCTCTATTAATTTCAAATAAAAAACTTTGTTTAGAAGAATCTTGATGATCTAATAGGTGACTCTTAAAAAAATTTACAATTTATTACTACGCATTATATTATATTACATTATAATAAATGTTATTTTGAAATAATAAATAAATCTTACTTTTAAATATATTTCATTTTGAAATGATATTGAACATTTAGGAAAAGGACACTTAAGCTTGAATTCGACCAAATGATCTTGATAAAAATGTTTTTGCAAAAGTTCCTCCGTTCCGTATATATTTTTACATAATTGACATAAATTTCCTATGCGAAACGTCTCCGTATTATTATTTACACCGTGAGTTTCGTGGTTTTCGATCATGTGCTCGTTATAATTTTTATTATTTTGATGACAAATTGGGCGTTGAGTGTTTTCAAAATTTTTGTGAGATTGGTCATTATCCTAAAAAAATATTGATAACTGAAAATACGTAAAAATATGTTTTTGAAACATACGGGGAAACTCTTTTCATTATTTTGTTTCTGGGAGCATATTTCAGATTTGAGAACATTTTTAGTAACAGCTGAAGAACAAATGGTTTTGTGCTGTACAAATATATCTGCACAAGCGAATGTTTCGTCACATGTATCACATTCAATTACACCTTAAATAAAATATATGTATTAGCTTATTTATTAATTATTAGACTTAATTTGGTTGTATTAATGCACGTAAATATGCTCATAATTATATTACTACGTACGTAAATATATGCACACAGTATTGGTTATCTTTGCTCCAATGAAATTGATACTTTCAAAGATATCAAAATATAATAGACTTAAAAAAAATTTTTACTTACAATTTTCATTACCATTGTAGTGCAGAATTTTGTGATTAATTAGGCAATCTTCATTTTTAAATTTTTTAGGGCAATAATCGCATTTGAATATATTATGATCAATCGCATCAGAACTACAAGAAAAACTATTTAAATTAATACGGGTACGCACAATGTGATCAACATTTTAAATTCAGTGATGTTTACCTCCTATCTTTATTATGATTTTTCATATGGAAATGAAAATCAGTTTGTGAACTAAATTGCTCTAAGCACTTAGGGCAATTAAAAATTACTTCAGTAATCTCTGTATCTAAATATTCCACCTTTTCGAACTTTGGGCTTGAGTTTTTGGAAAGGTTATCATTCTTACTATCTGATATGTTCTGGTTTTCAATTAAATTTATGTTTTCATTCCATTCATCTTCAATTAAATCAGCATAATCTTCACTCGTGGCGTTGATAGAAAAAAAATCTGTGGCGGAAAAAGGTTTTTCTTTGGATTTTTTGTAAATCATTTCCATTAGTTTGACATTTTTAGAAATCTCTATAAGATTGTTGTGTGTTAAAACGGCTTTCTTTTGAAATTTATAAAAATTTTCCAGTTGGTTTTGGCAAACAAAACATATTTTTAACCAGGTCGGTAAATCACTGATTTTAATGTGGAACAATTGTTCAAATAAATATCCATGCTCATTATTTTCAATTTCTACTGCATTACAACCAATTTTCCGAACTTTTGCTAGAGTAATAAGTCTTATATTGCTAGCTAAACATATGCGACAAAAATTTTGTGTTTTTTCAATTTTGGAATATGTAAATTGAATTTCTTCATTATCGATAAATACATCACTATTATTAGTACATGGTAATTGTTGTTCATCGAAAAATATGGTTGGAACAGCATTTTCTAAATTGATTCAAAATGTTAGTGGCTTAACTTTACATATATTCTTTCAGTAAAGTAGGTTAAAGTAGGTACATTCAAATTTTAATTGAAAATTAAGTTTATATTAAGAAAAATCAAGTTATCATTAAAAAACTTACCAGTAAGTTGAATTTTACTATTCGAATATATAACAGTTTCCGAATCTAAAATGAATCTTTTTTAAAGTTAAGATTTTTAATGGTAATTTGTAGCGTGTACCTGAACTTTGAATTTCCACTTTACGTATTAAAAAATTATTTTCAAAATGCTTAATACAAATTTGTGGTGAAACTAACTTAATTTTTAAATCCGCTTTTATCGCTGCCAGCCACTTTTTTCTTAATATTTTATTATCCGGAAACGGGAATGTTTGTATAGGATCACTATCTATTGAGAAATTGGATCTGCATCCTGGAGCACAGCAAATCCCTAAAAAATAAAAACAAAAATTTCAAGAATTTTCATTAAGTATTTTTGATTTATTTAACTGTATGGTTTTGTAAATTTATCGGGTTTATTAATTCTATTATGATGACCAAACTTTTCCATATTGCACATTTATTTTAAGAGGATAATGTCTTTCAAGAGAAGGCACAAAATTCCATTAGAGTATTTTATTCTTATATTTAATTTATAATTGGAATTTTTGATCTTCATTCATTTTGTTTATATTTGTAACTACTTAAATTAAACAATAATTTGACAAACAATGCTGAAACCGAACGCTATCATGTATGCGAGTGAAATAATAGTTTTACTTACCCCTACACAGAATTCTCTCAGTATAACATATGGTTTCCACATTATTTTATGATAGCCACGAAATTGATGAAAGATGACAGTTTTTTTATAGAACAAAATTTTACAAACGGAACAAAGTGGAATTAGAACACATTTGATTGTCAAACAAATGTATCAAATGAACGTATTTAAATTAAATAAATGAGTTTTTAATATTTGTAAATTAATAAAAACAAGTTGTTGAAACGGTTTTTATGCTCTTTGTAACGAATAATTGTTATTAAAAATAATTTTTTTTTCACTTTAATTGATTTTACAAAAGTAGCACAGTAAATATTGGAAGTAGCAAAGCAATAAGTCATATTGTCACTGTTCACCAATATATTTTTTGCTTATTTAAACAGATTGTTGAATTTTGCCGTTTTCCTTGAGCGTTGTTTCACTGAAATCAACTGATTACGTTGTATTTATTGTTCCCATTGAGCGTCGTCGGTTTCTCCCTACAATTGCTAAATAACTGTAATATTTAACTGAACAAGTAAATATTATTATTGCAAACACAAGCCAATTAATATGTATTATTTACAGTAGATATGACATGGTCTTCTATAACAAACTTTCTCCTTAGCTTAATTATTAGATGTATTTCTTAATTAGCTTATTATTAGATGTATATGCTGTTATTTAATCAATTTAATTAATTATTCAATCAACTTTATAATGTAACAGATTAAAAAAAAAATTATTTTATATTAAAGGGAATATATTTTTGTGTCATTCAATAAAGATTCAGTACAATTGTACAAGAAATACAAAAACACTACCATTACTGAATTAATGTATTAACTAGGTTTGTCACTCAGGCAGATAATCGGATATGTTGTCAAACATCATCAACTGTCTTGCTATTTTGTCAAAGTTGTAAATAAAGAAAAATTTCTAAATTAAAACAAATATAGGAAAGAATTAAGATTCGGTTGTGAAAGGTGTTAATTTATTAGAATAAATACTTAAAAAACTCTAAGAAAAGATGAGAGTTCATTTTCATGAAAGATATGGTATGCAAAAAAAATTTTATTAATCTACGCGCTGCATAAAAGTCGTGCGTGTATTAATTTTTTTGGAAAAATCTTTAAAAACCTATTGAAAACATTATTTTTCTTTTAAAGGTACAAAAGGTGATGAGATTTTATATGTAACGCCAGATGATCAAAGTAGTATAGTTCGTGTACCATTAAGAGGTGATAAATTAATAACACGTGAACGCTTCGCTTTGCTTAAATTACTGCAAAACATTTTTTTACCAAAAGGCTATCCAGACAGTGTTAGCGAGGATTATTTAACATATCAAATCTGGGATACAATTCAAGCATTCTGTAGTACAATAAATGGTAATAAGTTCTTTCAATTTTTCCTACATTACAATTTTCTAATATGCTTGTTTATCTATTTAAAACATAAAGGAACTTTAACTACTCATGCAATTCTTAAGGGTTTAGGAGTCGGTAGTGATGTTGTGAGTCCATTTTCAGCAACTGTAACGTGGATATTTAAAGAGGGTAGTGGTCATTTGGGTAAAATCTTATTTTCGTGGTGGAAAGGGTATTTCATTATATTATGCTAAGAAATAACTAGATTTATAAAAAAAAATATTTTAGATGTGAGCTTGATTTAGATTCAAAAAAATGGAGACTCAGAGCAGATTTCTTGAATGATATAGCAATGGGAATTGAAATATTTGTTATGCCAAAATATTTAGAGTATGCTACATATATATTGTGCGGAACAACGACTTTGAAAGCAATAGTGGGTGTTGCAGGTACAACTTGTTTTTTGTTTTTATTTTTCTTGTTAACTTAATTTTTGGTTTGAAGGAGGTTCCACAAGAGCTGCCCTAACGCAACACCATGCAATACGTGGTAATTTAGCCGATGTTTCATCTAAAGACAGTGCCCAAGAAACATGTGTCAATTTAATAGCTTCCTTTGTAGGACTTTATCTCTTAACAGCTATCAAAAGTCAAAAGTAAATTTTTCCCCATTTGCAATATTTAAAATATATTATTATGTATCTAAAATTTTCCAGTGTTCTTTACACATTTTTTGTTATTATCGGTATTATACATATATATGCTAATTTAAAGGCTGTCAGATCCGTCTGTTTGAAAACGTTTAACGAATCTCGATATTTAATTACATTGGAAGAATATTTTCGATCGAGTAGAATGCTACCGCCAGCTGTTGTAAGTAACAGTAAAAATGCAAAATATAAATTTTTCTTCTAGTGTCTTTTAAATTCAGGTAAATAAATTGGAAAGAGTAACTGTAGGTCAAACAGTCTCTGTATCACTAAATATCAAAATGGGATTGTCAATAAAGAATTTGGTGGACGAATTCAAAAATTCACATATGATCGATAATATAGTTTCGTCATTTGATCCTCATGAGAGGTTCATTATAGCCGAAAACAAACGTTATTTGGGAGTTTATTTACACTTTGATACTAGACCGCAGGATGTTTTAAAGGCATACTTCTTTGCAGTTTCATATTTGCAAGATCGACAGCAAATTAAAGAAAGATATTGGGAAGTACAAGGAAAATGGCAAGAGTTTTTAAATATGGCACAAAACGAAGGTAAACTTTAGATTTTCCTATCAGTTGTAATTATTTTACCAAATAATTATTAATATTTATAGGCTGGTGTACAACAAATCACCTATTATATGTCGACGAATACAGATTAGACTGGAAGGCTTAGACATGTTGATAACGTTGTTGACTGCGAAATTTACCGATAAATGAAAAAGTTTTATCAAAATAATTTCTCGAATGTAACAAGATTTACTACGAGTTGGACCAAAAATAGTTATGCACTCAAAATACCAGAAAACTGATAAAAAAAAAGACAAACATGAATGTACAATTATTAATTCTCGAATATTAACATAATTTTATTGTATATATTTTTAAATACTTTAAAAATTTGGAAAAAGGTAAATTATAACATCTTTGACTTCCATTGTAAACTATAATGAAATTATTTTACTTAAATGTACCTTAATCTTAAATATGATCATATAAACCGAAGGTGATATACAAGCAATGCCATTTGGTTGCCCCGTTTTAAAAAAGATATAGGGTTTTAATAACAAAAGTAAATAATTACTTAATTTCTAAGATTTTAAAATTTGCAATTTCTTTAAAATTATTTCGAAAAAAAAAACAAAACAATTATAGCTAACATTGCAATTAATTATTAAAACGCAGCTATTGTAGGAATTTTTATATTACATATAGATAGAAAGTAGAGTTGTGAAAGCGTTTTGCAATCAAAATTAAAAGAAAAAAATTATCGTTATATCGTAAAATTATTTGCGAATTAAAAAAAATTGCAAATTGAAGCACGTAAGCATCTTTTTATAATTGAAGATTAACAAGTGGATTTTTTTTTACATCAGCCGTGTTTAAAATATTTTTATTTTTTTGATTCTGGTGATATCCAGTACTCGCAAAAATAATAAAATCATTTTAAAAATACTGCTTTTTTGATATTGAAATGCTATTTTAATACAACACTTACTTCTCATACGTATTTTATTATATAATGTTTGGAAATCTTGCATTTAAAATAAATTTATATTTGCATTTACTTGAAAAAGGCTTTATTTCTTATGTAATGATGTTAAAATTTTACTTGTATAAATAGAAGCCGCCTTGATATATTTTTCCATTAAAACTAATTTAATAATGCTAACATTAAATAAATTAAATATAAACGGTTGCAGTTATGCAATGCTTTTTTAAATCCCACATGCAAAAGGTTCATTTTAAAAATTAATTTGAAATCTGCAATAAATATCCCACCGAAAATTCTATCCTATAAGTTGCTAAACTTTTTATAGTTTAATTTTTTTTTTTGCATTCACGCACATTTTTTAAACAAATTATTCCCGTATTATGTATTTCCGTATATTTTCATCTAGTTAAAAAAATAAAATCTTTAAATTAAGTTTCATTTATTCTCGAATATTATTGTTTTTGAATTAGATTAACTGAACTTAATTAAATTATAAGTCAACTTAATGTGTAGTTATAATTCAGTAATAAAATGTAATTTAGGTCGTAATATCAAAAATTAAAAATTAAAAATATGAAATAGAGAATGGTTTGAAATGAACGATTTAAATTCAAAAAATTATGAAATATTTTACTTCTTGCGGACACTTAGTTCCGATTTATATTAATTAAGCAAAAGATAAAAATATTTATAAAGTTAGAAGGTTAAAAAACTTAAAGATGTGCAATTAAAAAAAAATTTTTATACAATGAAGCTTAAATTCTATTACTAATAAAAACGAATTAATATTACTATTTATTAAAAATGTTAATTTAAAAAAAAATGTTTTTCATAGGTTCGAATATTTAGCTTTTAAAAACTTAGTTAAATTAATTTTAAAATTTAGGTAAAAGTAAAATTATGTAAATTTGGGTATTTTCATATTTTTTTTTAATTTTAGTATATCAATACGAAAAGTCTTCTTAAAAACTAGGCACGTTATTCGGAATATTTCAAATTAAATTTAAAAAACGCATGAAACGAATTCATGTTTTAACCTTAATGCTTTTTAAAATATTATTCTTTTATTATCAAAATCTCTTCTGGACTTTAATAAAAAATTTCTTAACTTCTCTAAGCTTAAAATATTTATATAACCTAATTGAACTTTCAAAAAGCATAATACTAAAATAAAGTATATAAAAACCAAAATTTTTTTTTGTTTTTGCACAATACCCAGACTTACAAAATTTTACTTTTGTATTTTTATTTGAATTCGAAATTAATGTTATTATCCTCTAAGAAACGCAAATCTTTTTATGGCATCAACCTAATAAAAGTAACCTAAAGTAAATTGCTAATATTATGCAGTACTTAAATATTCTATGAAAAAAAAAGTATATTGAAATATTGAATTTCTGTAGAATATTAATTTTGTGTACTTTCTTTAGGATAATGTCATAACTGATCTTTTAGCAAACATTACCAAAGTAAATAAATTTTAAAGTAATTTTAGATGAAAATTTTGATATTAATTTAAGTCACGATGAAATGCCTTAAATATTTTATAAATAAACAAAAAAAAAAAGAAAAACAAAATTATTTTAAGCTTAAAATTTATATTAATGATATTTTTTGATATTTTCTTTATTTGTATTTTCAATGTTTTCTTTTTATTTAAAACATATAAAAGCATGTATGCATTATTACAAAATCTAGCTTACAAGATTTCTTCTGATTAATCGATAGAATAAAATATTACAAAAAGCAGAATTAATAAGAGTCTTAACATACTTACATGTTAACACAGCATCTCATACAAATATCTTATTAGTGATCTTTAAATTAAATATTAAAATTTAAAAACAAAAATCTAGCTAGTGATCTTTAGCAGATAAATCGTATGAACTGTGTCGATTTTACAAAATAGTTAAAAATATATTGCATATTCATCAAGTTATGTTTTTTGCAGTATTGCCTTCCGCAGTGATTGTTTTTCCGTACTGCGTTTATGAATTATCTCTGCTGTCATTGTCATGAATTAATTTAATTTACTTATTTTTCGGAAATAATTTCCACTTATTATTTTTACATTCCAATTCATTATTTTAAAAAAGTATTGAAGTTTACTTACCGGTATGTTTGTAGGTGTATTGTGAATTTGTATTTTATTCTATCGATATCATTACTTATAAATTTATCTGAATTTAAATTTATTAATTTTGCTAAAAAAAATAAGACAGAAATTTATAAATTATATCACAATTAACAAATTGAAAAAATAAAAAAAAAAGCATTAAAAGATATAGTAAAACAAATTGTTTTATTGCTTTTTCCACTTATAAATCTATTGAAAAACGCATATTATTTAAAAATTATTATGTAAAGTGAAAAAAACTATTCTTAATATTTCTTTTGAAGGTACAAAAGCTGATTCGACAGTCATAGTACAAGTCGTCTCTCATTTTCTTTAATATTAAGAAAGAATAATACTATATAAAATGTCGTCGGATAAAAAGCAGAAAGCATTAAGTCAGGAAACTGTGTTTTAAGTAAAGTCAATTTGAAAAAATCGTAAAATTGCAAAACTAATCAATTAGTGCAATGGGATTGGTCTCTTTAATTTCTGGATTTATAAACTACATTCATCTATGAAATCCGAATTCTCAAAAAATGCACTTAGTGCTTTCTGCTTTTTAACCGACGATATTGAAATTTAATATAATTTGAGAACAGTTTAAAAATTATAAATGTAAGTACAATTTTTTCAATAATATGAACAATGTTTTCAATTTACACCTATCGCATTTTTCTGATTTGATAAAACTGTTTAGTTAATTGAGATTTGTGAAATATACCAGGCTTTCTTTTAGATTTTTAGATTTTAAAGTTTATTTAGTGACGACATTTTTTGAATAAACGAAAAAGTATTGGAAATAATAATCTCATGGACATGTGACAATAGTAACAGATTTGCCACATTTAAGAAAATTGAGCCAATCACAAACAAAACAAAAACAATCACAAGTTTTCATTGTTATCTGTAAAGTTCTTAAATTATATCTCCATTGATTATAATTAACTTATTAAGAAATAAGTAAAGACTTATTTTATGAGAATCAACAATTTTGAAATTTTATAAAATACCGTCCATTTTGCGCTTCTTTCGGTCGAATGTAATTTTTTCCACTTTTACGCCAAATATGCATCTCATAATTTCTGGGGGTAATCTTTCATAATTTCTTAATGAACTTTTCTTATTTTCAATAATTTATGAAATATTACCATTACGACCTCTTTATAAACAAACCATTTGAATTTAATTTTTAAGTTATTTTAATTTGCTTAAAGTAAAAATGAATTTATATAGAATAATTTAGAGAAAATAAGGAAAATATTTTAATATTTTTTTGAAAAGAAATTAGGTGATTAAGGACATATGCATACATATTATTATGTATACCAGTATATGTACATATGTAGAATTATTTTAGAAGTGTAAATTGAATGGAGTGGGAAAGGAATCGAAAATTTAATTTTACTTTACAGAAAATGTGAATCTTTAAAAATTTTTTTTATGTATTTTTATGGATTTTTTAGTTACTAATTTTTTTTAAGTTTTTACACACTGAGTTTTTCATTTTCTTTTGTTTCTTAATTCAAAGAATTTATTTTATTTAACGTACATTGTCAACATACATTTGTAACATAATGCACATGGACATTTGAATTTGAAGAGATCACTAATGTTCACTACCATTCCACTCATATCACCCGGTGAAAAAGGTGGTCTTTAAAACGAGAATTTTAGTGTATCTTTTACAAATAAATGAGATACATAATGGGACCCTTTAATGTGTCCAATATAAGTATCTACATATTGAGTTTACTTTAAATAAAAATTTAAAAGGTTGACTAGGTTTACAAGATTTTTGAAATTAATATACAGTTACATAAGTATATAGTAAACAAAATTTCAAAAGTGCAAAATTCAATACACTTTTCTCGCACACTTATTTAAAGTAAGGTGATTCCGTCCATCACATTTACTTCGCTAGTGCTGAAAATTAGTATCATTTGTTGGTTTATAAAATTCATATGCATAGCATTACTTATTTACTGTATTAATTTTTTAAAATTTTAAAATTTTTTTATGTTAAACGAAGGTGAAGAGACCGAATCAAGTTATAGTTCTGTGGAAATTGATAAAAACGTTAAAGTAAATTGATTTTTTCGTGATGTTAAAAACGTAATTTTGTTGCAAAGGGTCATATTTTTATTCTGATAAAAACTCAGAATATTAAAATGATTATAAAGGACTTAAAAGTAGTAAAATCTAAATTCTGATGGAGCTTATTCCTACATTTTTGTGTATTAAAATGTTTATCAAATTTTTATTTTTTTTCTATATATAAAATTAACACAAAATTTCTGCACATTTCTACATACATATGACCTATGTAGATTTTCTTAAATGACGATGTAATTTTGTAAATAAAAAATTATTCTACGCTTGACTAACCTTTCTATACTTTAATGTACTGGATCACTTTTCCGAAGTGGAAATTTGGGAAACAGTGAAAGGTAGAAAAACTTCATCCATTCCAGGTTGAACAAACTCTGGCTCTACAAACAGAACTCTGGTATCTGATAATTTTGCTATCAATTCCAATTATCTCAAATATCAATCCATTCACTTCATTCATTACAAGTTTCGTAGACGTGTTTACAAAACTTCTACACCTTTGATGATAGAAATCTGAAAATTATACCAACAACACTAAACTTTTAGCCCTAAAAAACACTAAAATTCCATTTTCATTTTTAAAAGTTTTGCCAGCTTTTAGACACCAAATAATTCATTTCATTTGAAGAAAATTTTTTTCCACCACCATCCCTTCTCAAGTTATTCTCTCTCGAAATTTGTAATATTTGAATTTTTGGCATCTTATACATATATCCGAAACTACAAGCTTTTCCAAATTTCTATAAATGTGAAAGCTAACGGCAAAAGCCATGCCTTTAAAAAATGTGAATTGAAATATGAATGGAAATTGTACATTTTACATAATTCGCGCGAGGAATTAATGTAGGTGATTCGCTTTAAGATGAGTTTTTCCAAAGGAAATTGACATTTCTTGGAGCCGCGCGGACTAATTTTCTGTAGGATAATCAAACTTTCGGGGTGATGTTCGAAATTCTCACATTTTATTCATAAAATTCCTATTATGTGAATAAAATGTGAGAATTTTTATGTTTTTATGTTTTTTATATAATTGTTTTTTATTTAATTATTTTTAAACGAAAACAATTAGATTTCAATAAATTTTTTTCAATTTTCCGAGATTTGAAATGGAGATGGATAAGAGTTTCATGAAAAGAAAAAAATTTAAATAAAAATCATAATTTCTACTAATTAATAGAAAAAAGAGTAGGAAAAAGAGTCCCGTTTACGTAAAATTTTTTCGTGCAACATTGTAAAATCCCCTTAATATTGAAAATTGCCGGGAAAAATTTAATAGAAGTGTCAAATAAATTTAAACTTCATTCAATTTTGTTCAACCTGAGACAATTCTTTATTTTGATTTTGCAAATTGCAACATGCAAACTATATTAGTATTAAATATATTTTAATTTGCTTCATATTTCATTACAATATTTATTCAAATTAATGGAGCCTTGTGAAATAGAATTCGTAGGAGAACAGACTGAAATTGGAATCATACCCAATTTTAACTTTGATGCTATTCATCTAATTAGTGGCAGCATTGGACCATTTAGGGCTGGTTTACCAGTTAAAACTCCCTTATGGCTAGCAATTCATTTGAGAAAACAGCAAAAATGTAGAATAGTTCCTCCGGATTGGATGGAACTTGAAATTTTAGAAGAACTAAAGGAAGAAGAGAAACGATCAAGGTGAATAAATTCATAGTAAATTATCTTTAATATCAAAGAAAATATTGTAGGTTTTTCATTAAAATGCCATGTGAGCATTATATGATTGTTGCTCAGTTAATTTTAAGTACCGCCCGTGAGGATATACCTAGAAGTAGTGAAATTAGGACTGTTATTAAAGATATATTTGACATTAGAGAATCAAAATTGCGAACTTCAATAGATACTTTTATTAAAGGTGAAGGAACATATGCAAAGTTAGATAATTTAACAATGTTTGAAATTCATGCTGTCCGACCATTGCTTCCACATGCCTTAGATCACATAGCAAGATATCAAAGAATGGCCGATGTGGCACAACGTGATTTGTCGATGATAGGACTAAGTAGTTCAATAGGTACTGGTATAGGAAGTCATGTAAACAATTCCTTTTCCTCACAGTGAACTTACACGATTATAAAAGGTTGGTGGGTTCCCTATGTATGTTAACAAAATATGTATATAAATGTATGAATCTATCTAGTTCCATCTTACACAAAAACTAATAGGTACATAGTACATATTTTGGAATTTTATACACATTTTAGATTTTCATCGGTTTCGACATTTGTATTTTTTAACACAAAAAAATTAGATAATTTGCGAAACTCATGTATCGATTTGCTGTACAAATTTGTATTTCCATTTCGAGATTTTATATGCAATACACTTTATAACAATGTTAACCTTAGTTACAAAATTTTTGATGTAAAATAAACAATTAAATACTTTGCTATTTCTTTTTATCTATATACAAAATAATGTATACTATATATGTGTTCAATAAATTACAAAAAAATATTCCTAAGCGTTCGGATTAGAGAGGATTTCTTCTACATTCCCTAGATGTTTCTCCTTGTGGCCAGTTTGAGACAAATGCTTGACTGCAATTAAAAAAAGCCAAAAAATTTCAGCTTTAAATTCAAATTAGAAATATAAATTACTTACTGATATCTACCCAATCCCAACCTCTAGGACGTTCTCCTTTATGGTCTGTCTTTTCCCATTGTCTGCGTTTTTGAGATTTGGTTAATTGTTCTTTTTTTGTATTTTTTTGTAGAGAATCTGATTCAGTCAATTTTAGAGTTTCTACATTAGAGGATAAATCAACAGCAGTGTTTGAAATTTGCGTATCAGGCTGGTTTTCAACCAGTTCATCAATTCTATCTTTCAGACATTCAAAAAGAGTATACGTCATTCCACAACCAATCCATTGATTCGCTTCTTCTATAAGAACTGATTTAATTTTTTCTTTGACTTCAGGAATTCTTTAAATTAAAAAATGATGCTAATAATCATTATTCATCAATGTTTTACAATCTTTCAATAAAGTTTAATATATTGTACTTACAAATTCCGGTTGAAAAACGTATCCATGTTAATATTTGGCAGCTCGTTCGGGTAATTTTCAACCCATTGAATTTCAACTAAAAATGATTTGTTGTCATCGTCCTCACCATACTAAAAAAATATTTTTCTTTAAATTAACCGCAAATTAAAACCTTCATTTAATTATTCACTTTATATTGAAATGTTGTTGTATTTAACTGTTTAAAATTTTGATCCCCTTCATAAATTGATATTAAAGCTTCAACTTCATCTTTTTGCATTTCACTTGTTTCAGACATTTTCACAAAATTTCTTTAAATTTTGAGGTAAAAAAGTAAAGCACAGCAAAAAAAAAAAAAAACTAAACAAACAACAAAGTTCTTGACATTTCTTATATGGAACACATGACAATTGACAATTTTTCGTACCCCTGTTAGCAGTCATCGATAATGAAGTGTGTAATCTTCATTTTAAAATGTAGTGATATTTTTATGATACAAAAAATTTTAAAAAACTCAAGGCAAAAACAAGAGTTTTAATTAAGTTATACATACATGTATTTATGTAGTACTAGCTTATAAAAAAATAATAATTATGCCTTATAAACAAAAACTACTGTATTTTATAAAAATAGTTTGTTTAATTTTTTAGATTTAGGAGGAAAATATAAAACTACATACGTACATATATAAAGTTTAAAAATATCATATGTTTCTGAACACATTATAACCTGATAAATTTTGATAAACAAAACAATGCAATTATAATAAAAATTTTTGATTTCGTTTCAATTTTTATAAACGTAAACCAAATATTTTGAATTCATTTTGCACAAATATAAATTTTGCTGCAACCAATTCTTTTCCCGCCCATATTATCATTTTTAATCGTCGAAATATTCGCCACAACATCCATTATTAGATTATTAGACTGTAATTCTAAATTTCATATTTTGTTAACTTGTATTAAGTTATACTTCAATAATTTCATATAAATGTTTTTCTTTAGCACATAATGTAGGCAAAAAATCAATGTGCACAAATTAATGCTTTATCTACTAGTTGCGCTACCACAATCTCTTTTTCTATTGTGAATTCAAAATTTTTTACATTCTCAATTATGTGGAATTTATTCATTCCACATTTCATATTATTATATAGTTGAAATTTATAATGAATTGAGAATAGTGATAATTGTGAATAACGTCATGTTGATGTTTTTGTTTTTATTATTTTCTAATTGAAAAATAATTTCAGTTAAACATAATTTCAGTTAATAATAAAAATTTATTAAATTGGATTTTATTTAAAACGAGGAAATGAAGTCGGTATCTGTTGTGAAAAAGTATTTAAAATGTAATATTTTAATAAACTATATAATAAGATAATTTCAATTTTCTTTAAATGTTGACCTCAAGTAGATTTTTTTTTAAAACTAATTTAACCTTTTTAATGTTTTAAGTAAATGTGTGTGCAAATGAGTGTATATCAACCACATTATATGTTCCTCTTTATAAGCAAAAATAGTTTACTTAAATTTTAATGAATAAAAAGTTCTTTCACGAGCCCAAATTAACTCAATTATTTAATTAATAAATAATAAATTTTATTTCGCACCAGATTCTTTGTCATCAAAAGTTTTTTAACGAATTGTATCAATTTTGTAATACTTAAAATTTGACGTTGTCAAAATATAACTCAGTTATTTTTTGACTGTGAAAGGATCCATACAAATTAGATTGAGGAAAAGAGTATGCTAGACATGAAGACTAAATCCAATTGCTTTTACATACTTTAGTTAATTAATCAAAGTAATAACCATTAATTGTATGGTATCAATTTACAACGGATTGTTGAATTATTTATATACATGTATACATACATAATGTACCCAAATAATAATACATTTAGTTGTAATCACCGGTTTATAATACCATCTTTAATATTTTATTGATAAATGGTAATATTTAAGAAAGTAATGTTCCAATAATGTTTTAAGCGATGAAAACATTAAAGATAGTTAGTGAATGGTAATTTATTTTTGTCATTACTAAAACATAATTTTGAAGTTCTCTTGCTTGTAAGAATCAGATTCCCTTTGATTATTACTTCCTTCTTAATAATTTCAAAATATTTAATGCGATTTTTCAAACAAGTCCAAATTGTTTTTTATTTTTTTTTGTGAAAAAAGAATATTATCAAAAATGAATATATAAGCTAAACTTTTTTTAAATCTTTTGAAAAATTATTTAGTCATGTTTACAAAATATGTATACAATAAAAGAGAATTGAGGAATATAAAAGTATGTATGTATGTATGTATTTAAGCAAAAATTATTTATGAATGTTTATTCTTCCTGGTATCTTTTGATGTCTTTGAACTTAGCTTTTTTATATTTTTCTCTTTTTATCATACTTATTGTCTTATTCATTATCCAGACGAAATAAAAAAAGGCCACGTTAACTAAAACAAATTTAGGTGGGAGTTTGACCATTATAAAAAGTCTTTTTTGGCGGCAAAAATTTTATATTTAAATGTAGATTGTACAAGTATAATTCTAATATAATTTTGGTATATTGGAATTTACAAAAAAAAGTGTTAATAAATACATATGTACAGATTATGTATGTATGTACATGCTTGATTTTTTATGATTCTACAACCGTATATTGAATAATGTACTGAATTCTTACGGGATGGATTACATATATACATATATATTACGTTATTTCCTCGAAGAACAAAAATAATTAAATTACTTTAACATATTTGCATAAACGTTTTTTAAATATTTCTCGTCTTCTTCAAAATCTAAATTTATTATTACATGAAATATTTAATCAATTAAATTATAACTGATATACATAGATTATTAGTTATCTAAATTTATAAAATGTCACTTAAGAATAAGTTAATAGAGCCATCACCTATCAATTTATAGAATTACAATTGCGCGTTAACACTTATGTATGAATAAAAGCAAATTGCACCTATTGATCAAAAATAATTTTAGTATTTCAGTATGTATAATGAAAAAAGTATGTTATGTTGAAATATGATTTATTGTTATGCTAATGAACCATGCTTTTATGAAACAGAAAAATATTCTTAATTGAATTATTATGAAAATATTCATCATATCAACAAATAGACAAATGTATGTATGTAAATATGTATGGATGTATATGAAGTTTAAATTGTATGTATGTATATGAAGCTCTCATTACATATAGAAGTTTTACTTATTTATATAAATAATAATTAAAATGGAAAAAGTATTTAAAAGGTTTTGTCGTTTGTATTGAATAATTACAAAAAAATTAGGTCGTTAGCACATACATATATGTACATAATACGTATATATAATCAAAAAAAATAAATGTAAAATTAAGTGCTATGGTTTTGTGGTCAATTGCTTTCCTAATTTTATAAGTTTAACGTTGAAACTTAACAAAAAATGTGACTTGAATAATAAAATTTTATTCTTATTTTGTTCTCATATACCTACTTATTTTATATAAGTATGTATATAGAAACTGTAAATTAAAGTAATCTAATTGGCGGGCTATTATTTTGCTATTGACATATTGTTATATAATGTAACATTTTATGAAATAATAATATCCGTTATATTTCCTAAATAATTTATTATGTAAAATGAATTTCATTTGGATCGTATATTTATATATGTACCTATATAACGAAATGTTAAAATTATGAAAAAGGTACACGTTCATATGAAACACATTGAATATGTCCATTGAATAATTCAGTAGGTGACTTTAAAATTATGTAGAAAAAACGAATAAATATGTATGATGTTCATCATCACAAGTAATTTCTACCTTACTTTATAGTTTTTACCAATTTTTTCACTTATTCAATATCAGAGATATTTTCGAATTAGAGTGCTGATTATTTTTAGTGCATAATAATTAATGAATATTGGGTAGATTTTAAGCAAGTGTGGGTAAGATGTACTCTCTTTATTCATCTTTGAATTCTTCCTATAATTTATTTCTTACATGCATTAAACAAAATTTTTAAAACATTATTGTTTTCATATGTACGTGTATGGACAAAATGCTACAATTATAAATTTATCACTCCATCTGTAATGCTAAGAAATAGATGCCTGAGATATAGACACAAATATATTATGATTTTGGTCAGCGTCGAATTTTAGGTCGATTTAGCTATTCTATTGTTATTAACTATTCGTCTGCCCGTTCCCATGATAACTCAAAAACAATTGAGCTGGGTTCGATTAAAGTAGCCTTTCAAGCAGCTCCCATATACAACTGCAAAAATAGTTTTGTCATATTTTGATAATTATAAATCTTACAATACTTAATTCGATATTTAAGTTTGGTTGAAGTTGTGTAAGTTTTTGCAAGAGCTAACAGAAATACTAAGCTAAAACTAATATTATTGTTTAGTAACACGGCCAGTATTCGAAAAAAAAATATTATAGAAGTGAATCCTCAGAATTATCACGCAACTCTTCAAAAACATTCTTATCAGAGTTTGTATTACAAAGTTGGTACAATAAATCTTTTCTCGTTTTATTATAAATTTTGATATTTTTCAATAGTACGGAAGTATCTGTAAAAGAATCATCACTGAAATTATTTGCCACTTTATGCGAAAAACTCTGTATGTGTACAACTACAACATACAGACTAAAAATTAAATAGCTACAAATATGCACATATATGTATGTTTGTGTGCTTCAAAAAATTTGACAATTGACATAGTGATAAAGAGTAAAAGCAAAAAATTTTTACTTAAAAATGAAAATAATGTTTTATCGGTTTTCAAGATAAATTTAAGATTGCCATTTCAAATAATTTGTTAGACCTATGAGTGATTCAAAAATTTACAAAAAATTCCGTGCGATAATTTTAAAAATAATTAAGAAGTGAAAATATATTAATCTTTTCGATAACTTCTACATAACTTTTCGATAATACTCGTATATGTATATATAGATATACATAGTTAATTGAATTTGTATGCTTGGGAGTTCAATGTACCAATTTGGACGAATAATCTGACTGTTATTTTAAAAATAATTTCATAAAATAATGATTTAAACATAAAATTTATTTCGAGTCTTTTAATTTTATTTCTGTGTACCATCAACACTACATACATATGTGTATATATCCGACATAGAAATAAAGAAGAACGAAGAAATAAAGTATATTTTTTTTTTAGTCTCATTTTCAACCGGTAAATCCTATGTGCCTATGGTAATTCACTTATACCTCGGTGCTTAAAGAAACAACAATTTTTCAAAAGAACCTCAAAGTAAAATTAAAAGTAGCACAC